AGTATAATCTAGAGGACTAGCAAAGAAAAAGAGGCATCCAATGCAGCTGACCTATCAAAGTGATGCGCTGGGCAGTCGGGTCAGTATGCGCACCTATAATGGGCGAACCAGGGAGAGTTCGAGCGCTCAAATACTGCAAACCACATGGAATGAGATGGAGCCACTTGTCGTGGTTGCGGAAAATAGTATAATCTAGAGGACTAGCAAAGAAAAAGAGGCATCCAATGCAGCTGACCTATCAAAGTGATGCGCTGGGCAGTCGGGTCAGTATGCGCACCTATAATGGGCGAACCAGGGAGAGTTCGTGCGCTCAAATACTGCAAACCACATGGAATGAGATGGAGCCACTTTCGTGGTTGCGGAAAATAGTCTAATCTAGAGGACTAGAAAAAAAAAGAGGCATCCAATGCAGCGGACCAATCAAAGTGATGCGCTGGGCAGTCGGGTCAGTATGCGCACCTATAATGGGCGAACCAGGGAGAGTTCGTGCGCTCAAATACTGCAAACCACATGGAATGAGATGGAGCCACTTTCGTGGTTGCGGAAAATAGTCTAATCTAGAGGACTAGAAAAAAAAAGAGGCATCCAATGCAGCGGACCAATCAAAGTGATGCGCTGGGCAGTCGGGTCAGTATGCGCACCTATAATGGGCGAACCAGGGAGAGTTCGTGCGCTCAAATAGTGCAAACCACATGGAATGAAATGGAGCCACTGTCGTGGTTGCGGAAAATAGTCTAATCTAGAGGACTAGAAAAAAAAAAGAGGCATCCAATGCAGCGGACCACTCAAAGTGATGCGCTGGGCAGTCGGGTCAGTATGCGCACCTATAATGGGCGAACCACGGAGAGTTCGTGCGCTCAAATAGTGCAAACCACATGGAATGAAATGGAGCCACTTGTCGTGGTTGCGGAAAATAGTCTAATCTAGAGGACTAGCAAAAAACAAGAGGCATCCAATGCAGCGAACCACTCAAAGTGATGCGCTGGGCATTCGGGTCAGTATGCGCACCTATAATGGGCGAACCAGGGAGAGTTCGTGCGCTCAAATAGTGCAAACAACATGGAATGAAATGGAGCCACTTGTCGTGGTTGCGGAAAATAGTCTAATCTAGAGGACTAGCAAAAAACAAGAGGCATCCAATGCAGCGAACCACTCAAAGTGATGCGCTGGGCATTCGGGTCAGTATGCGCACCTATAATGGGCGAACCAGGGAGAGTTCGTGCGCTCAAATAGTGCAAACCACATGGAATGAAATGGAGCCACTTGTCGTGGTTGCGGAAAATAGTCTAATCTAGAGGACTAGCAAAAAACAAGAGGCATCCAATGCAGCGGACCACTCAAAGTGATGCGCTGGGCAGTCGGGTCAGTATGCGCACATATAATGGGCGAACCAGGGAGAGTTCGTGCGCTCAAATAGTGCAAACCACATGGAATGAGATGGAGCCACTTGTCGTGGTTGCGGAACATAGTCTAATCTAGAGGACTAGCAAAGAAAAAGAGGCATCCAATGCAGCTGACCTATCAAAGTGATGCGCTGGGCAGTCGGGTCAGTATGCGCACCTATAATGGGCGAACCAGGGAGAGTTCGAGCGCTCAAATACTGCAAACCACATGGAATGAGATGGAGCCACTTGTCGTGGTTGCGGAACATAGTATAATCTAGAGGACTAGCAAAGAAAAAGAGGCATCCAATGCAGCTGACCTATCAAAGTGATGCGCTGGGCAGTCGGGTCAGTATGCGCACCTATAATGGGCGAACCAGGGAGAGTTCGAGCGCTCAAATACTGCAAACCACATGGAATGAGATGGAGCCACTTGTCGTGGTTGCGAAAAATAGTCTAATCTAGAGGACTAGCAAAGAAAAAGAGGCATCCAATGCAGCGGACCAATCAAAGTGATGCGCTGGGCAGTCGGGTCAGTATGCGCACATATAATGGGCGAACCAGGGAGAGTTCGAGCGCTCAAATAGTGCAAACCACATGGAATGAGATGGAGCCACTTGTCGTGGTTGCGAAAAATAGTCTAATCTAGAGGACTAGCAAAGAAAAAGAGGCATCCAATGCAGCGGACCAATCAAAGTGATGCGCTGGGCAGTCGGGTCAGTATGCGCACCTATAATGGGCGAACCAGGGAGAGTTCGTGCGCTCAAATAGTGCAAACCACATGGAATGAGATGGAGCCACTTGTCGTGGTTGCGAAAAATAGTCTAATCTAGAGGACTAGCAAAGAAAAAGAGGCATCCAATGCAGCGGACCAATCAAAGTGATGCGCTGGGCAGTCGGGTCAGTATGCGCACCTATAATGGGCGAACCAGGGAGAGTTCGTGCGCTCAAATAGTGCAAACCACATGGAATGAGATGGAGCCACTTGTCGTGGTTGCGAAACATAGTCTAATCTAGAGGACTAGCAAAGAAAAAGAGGCATCCAATGCAGCGGACCAATCAAAGTGATGCGCTGGGCAGTCGGGTCAGTATGCGCACCTATAATGGGCGAACCAGGGAGAGTTCGTGCGCTCAAATAGTGCAAACCACATGGAATGAGATGGAGCCACTTGTCGTGGTTGCGAAACATAGTCTAATCTAGAGGAATAGCAAAGAAAAAGAGGCATCCAATGCAGCGGACCAATCAAAGTGATGCGCTGGGCAGTCGGGTCAGTATGCGCACCTATAATGGGCGAACCAGGGAGAGTTCGTGCGCTCAAATAGTGCAAACCACATGGAATGAGATGGAGCCACTTGTCGTGGTTGCGAAACATAGTCTAATCTAGAGGACTAGCAAAGAAAAAGAGGCATCCAATGCAGCGGACCAATCAAAGTGATGCGCTGGGCAGTCGGGTCAGTATGCGCACCTATAATGGGCGAACCAGGGAGAGTTCGTGCGCTCAAATAGTGCAAACCACATGGAATGAGATGGAGCCACTTGTCGTGGTTGCGGAAAATAGTCTAATCTAGAGGACTAGCAAAGAAAAAGAGGCATCCAATGCAGCGGACCAATCAAAGTGATGCGCTGGGCAGTCGGGTCAGTATGCGCACCTATAATGGGCGAACCAGGGAGAGTTCGTGCGCTCAAATAGTGCAAACCACATGGAATGAGATGGAGCCACTTGTCGTGGTTGCGAAACATAGTCTAATCTAGAGGACTAGCAAAGAAAAAGAGGCATCCAATGCAGCGGACCAATCAAAGTGATGCGCTGGGCAGTCGGGTCAGTATGCGCACCTATAATGGGCGAACCAGGGAGAGTTCGTGCGCTCAAATAGTGCAAACCACATGGAATGAGATGGAGCCACTTGTCGTGGTTGCGAAACATAGTCTAATCTAGAGGACTAGCAAAGAAAAAGAGGCATCCAATGCAGCGGACCAATCAAAGTGATGCGCTGGGCAGTCGGGTCAGTATGCGCACCTATAATGGGGAACCAGGGAGAGTTCGTGCGCTCAAATAGTGCAAACCACATGGAATGAGATGGAGCCACTTGTCGTGGTTGCGAAACATAGTCTAATCTAGAGGACTAGCAAAGAAAAAGAGGCATCCAATGCAGCGGACCTATCAAAGTGATGCGCTGGGCAGTCGGGTCAGTATGCGCACCTATAATGGGGAACCAGGGAGAGTTCGTGCGCTCAAATAGTGCAAACCACATGGAATGAGATGGAGCCACTTGTCGTGGTTGCGAAACATAGTCTAATCTAGAGGACTAGCAAAGAAAAAGAGGCATCCAATGCAGCGGACCTATCAAAGTGATGCGCTGGGCAGTCGGGTCAGTATGCGCACCTATAATGGGGAACCAGGGAGAGTTCGTGCGCTCAAATAGTGCAAACCACATGGAATGAGATGGAGCCACTTGTCGTGGTTGCGGAAAATAGTATAATCTAGAGGACTAGCAAAGAAAAAGAGGCATCCAATGCAACTGACCTATCAAAGTGATGCGCTGGGCAGTCGGGTCAGTATGCGCACCTATAATGGGCGAACCAGGGAGAGTTCGTGCGCTCAAATAGTGCAAACCACATGGAATGAGATGGAGCCACTTGTCGTGGTTGCGGAAAATAGTATAATCTAGAGGACTAGCAAAGAAAAAGAGGCATCCAATGCAACTGACCTATCAAAGTGATGCGCTGGGCAGTCGGGTCAGTATGCGCACCTATAATGGGCGAACCAGGGAGAGTTCGAGCGCTCAAATACTGCAAACCACATGGAATGAGATGGAGCCACTTGTCGTGGTTGCGGAAAATAGTATAATCTTGAGGACTAGCAAAGAAAAAGAGGCATCCAATGCAACTGACCTATCAAAGTGATGCGCTGGGCAGTCGGGTCAGTATGCGCACCTATAATGGGCGAACCAGGGAGAGTTCGGGCGCTCAAATACTGCAAACCACATGGAATGAGATGGAGCCACTTGTCGTGGTTGCGGAAAATAGTATAATCTTGAGGACTAGCAAAGAAAAAGAGGCATCCAATGCAACTGACCTATCAAAGTGATGCGCTGGGCAGTCGGGTCAGTATGCGCACCTATAATGGGCGAACCAGGGAGAGTTCGGGCGCTCAAATACTGCAAACCACATGGAATGAGATGGAGCCACTTGTCGTGGTTGCGGAAAATAGTATAATCTTGAGGACTAGCAAAGAAAAAGAGGCATCCAATGCAACTGACCTATCAAAGTGATGCGCTGGGCAGTCGGGTCAGTATGCGCACCTATAATGGGCGAACCAGGGAGAGTTCGAGCGCTCAAATACTGCAAACCACATGGAATGAGATGGAGCCACTTGTCGTGGTTGCGGAAAATAGTATAATCTTGAGGACTAGCAAAGAAAAAGAGGCATCCAATGCAACTGACCTATCAAAGTGATGCGCTGGGCAGTCGGGTCAGTATGCGCACCTATAATGGGCGAACCAGGGAGAGTTCGGGCACTCAAATACTGCAAACCACATGGAATGAGATGGAGCCACTTGTCATGGTTGCGGAAAATAGTATAATCTAGAGGACTAGCAAAGAAAAAGAGGCATCTTATGCAACTGACCCCTCCTGCATTCCATCATCCCGCCCCATTCTCCCGCTTTCCATCACCCCCCTCCATTCTCCCGCTTTCCATCGCCCCGCTCCATTCTCCCGCTTTCCATCACCCCGCCCCATTCTCCCGCTTTCCATCACCCCGCCCCATTCTGCCTCTTCCCATCGCCCCGCCCCATTCTCTCTCTTTCCATCACCCCACCCCATTCTCTCGCTTTCCATCACCCCGCCTCATTCTCCCTCTTTCCATCGCCCCGCCCCATTCTCCCGCTTTCCATCGCCCGCCCCATTCTCCCTCTTCCCATCACCCAACCCCATTCTCCCTCTTTCCATCACCCAGCCCCATTCTCCCTCTTTCCATCACCCCGCCCCATTCTCCCTCTTTCCATCACCCCGCCCCATTCTCCCTCTTTCCATCACCCTGCCCCATTCTCCCTCTTTCCATCACCCCGCCCCATTCTCCCGCTTTCCATCACCTCGCCCCATTCCCCCTCTTTCGATCGCCCCGCTTCATTCTCCCTATTTCCTTCACCCCGCCCCATTCTCCCGCTTTCCATCACCCCGCCCCATTCTCCCTCTTTCCATCGCCCCGCCCCATTCTCCCTCTTTCCATCACCAAGCCCCATTCTCCCTCTTTCCATCACCCAACCCCATTCTCCCTCTTTCCATCACCCCGCCCCATTCTCCCTCTTTCCATCACCCCGCCCCATTCTCCCTCTTTCCATCACCCCGCCCCGTTCTCTCGCTTTCCATCGCCCCGTCCCATTCTCCCTCTTTCTATTGCCCCGCCCCATTCTCCCGCTTTCCATCACCCCGCCCTATTCTCTATCTTTCCATCACCCCGCCCCGTTCTCCCTCTTTCCATTACCCCGCCCCGTTCTCCCGCTTTCCATCACCCCGCCCCATTCTCCCGCTTTCGATCACCCCGCCCCATTCTCCTGCATTCCATCATCCCGCCCCATTCTCCCGCTTTCCATCACCCCCCTCCATTCTCCCGCTTTCCATCGCCCCGCTCCATTCTCCCGCTTTCCATCACCCCGCCCCATTCTCCCGCTTTCCATCACCCCGCCCCATTCTGCCTCTTCCCATCGCCCCGCCCCATTCTCTCTCTTTCCATCACCCCACCCCATTCTCTCGCTTTCCATCACCCCGCCTCATTCTCCCTCTTTCCATCGCCCCGCCCCATTCTCCCGCTTTCCATCGCCCGCCCCATTCTCCCTCTTCCCATCACCCAACCCCATTCTCCCTCTTTCCATCACCCAGCCCCATTCTCCCTCTTTCCATCACCCCGCCCCATTCTCCCTCTTTCCATCACCCCGCCCCATTCTCCCTCTTTCCATCACCCTGCCCCATTCTCCCTCTTTCCATCACCCCGCCCCATTCTCCCGCTTTCCATCACCTCGCCCCATTCCCCCTCTTTCGATCGCCCCGCTTCATTCTCCCTATTTCCTTCACCCCGCCCCATTCTCCCGCTTTCCATCACCCCGCCCCATTCTCCCTCTTTCCATCGCCCCGCCCCATTCTCCCTCTTTCCATCACCAAGCCCCATTCTCCCTCTTTCCATCACCCAACCCCATTCTCCCTCTTTCCATCACCCCGCCCCATTCTCCCTCTTTCCATCACCCCGCCCCATTCTCCCTCTTTCCATCACCCCGCCCCGTTCTCTCGCTTTCCATCGCCCCGTCCCATTCTCCCTCTTTCTATTGCCCCGCCCCATTCTCCCGCTTTCCATCACCCCGCCCTATTCTCTATCTTTCCATCACCCCGCCCCGTTCTCCCTCTTTCCATTACCCCGCCCCGTTCTCCCGCTTTCCATCACCCCGCCCCATTCTCCCGCTTTCGATCACCCCGCCCCATTCTCCCGCATTCCATCATCCCGCCCCATTCTCCCGCTTTCCATCACCCCCCTCCATTCTCCCGCTTTCCATCGCCCCGCTCCATTCTCCCGCTTTCCATCACCCCGCCGCATTCTCCCTCTTTCCATCGCCCCGCCCCATTCTCCCTCTTTCCATCACCCCGCCCCATTCTCCCTCTTTCCATCACCCCGCTCCATTCTTCCTCTTTCCATCGCCCCACCCCATTCTCCTGCTTTCCATCGCCCCGCCCCATTCTCCCTCTTTCCATCACCCAGCCCCATTCTCCCTCTTTCTAAAACCCAGCCCCATTCTCCATCTTTCCATCACCCAGCCCCATTCTCCCGCTTTCAATCACCCCACCCCATTCTCCCGCTTTCCATCACCCCGCCCCATTCTCCCGCTTTCCATCACCCCGCCCCATTCTCCCGCTCTCCATCGCCCCGCCCCACTCTCCCGCTTTCCATCGCCCCGCCCCAGTCTCCCGCTTTCCATCACCCCGCCCCATTCTCCCGCTTTCCATCACCCCGGCCCATTCTGCCTCTTCCCATCGCCCCGCCCCATTCTCTCTCTTTCCATCACCCCGCCCCATTCTCCCGCTTTCCATCACCCCGCCTCATTCTCCCTCTTTCCATCGCCCCGCCCCATTCTCCCGCTTTCCATCGCCCCGCCCCATTCTCCCTCTTTCCATCACCCAACCCTAGTCTCCCTCTTTCCATCACCCAGCCCCATTCTCCCTCTTTCCATCACCCCGCCCCATTATCCCTCTTTCCATCACCCCGCCCCATTCTCCCTCTTTCCATCAACCCGCCCCATTCTCCCTCTTTCCATCACCCCGCCCCATGCTCCCGCTTTCCATCACCCTGCCCCATTCTCCCTCTTTCGATCGCCCCGCCCCATTCTCCTTCTTTCCATCACCCCGCCCCATTCTCCCGCTTTCCATCACCCCGCCCCATTCTCCCTCTTTCCATCGCCCCGCCCCATTCTCCCTCTTTCCATCACCCAGCCCCATTCTCCCTCTTTCCATCACCCAACCCCATTCTCCCTCTTTCCATCACCCCGCCCCATTCTCCCTCTTTCCATCACCCCGCCCCATTCTCCCTCTTTCCATCGCCCAGCCCCGTTCTCCCTCTTTCCATTACCCCGCCCCGTTCTCCCTCTTTCCATTACCCCGCCCCGTTCTCCCGCTTTCCATCACCGCGCCCTATTCTCCCGCTTTCCATCACCCCGCCCCATTCTCCCTCTTTCCATCACCCCGCCTCATTCTCCCTCTTTCCATCACCCAGCCCCTTTCTCCCGCTTTCCATCACCCCGCCCCATTCTCCCGCTTTCCATCACCCCGCCCCATTCTCCCGCTTTCCATCACCCCGCCCCATTCTCCCGCTTTCCATCACCCCGCCTCATTCTCCCTCTTTCCATCGCCCCGCCCCATTCTCCCACTTTCATTCTCCCCGCCCCATTCTCCCGCTTTCCATCACCCCGCCCCATTCTCCCGCTTTCCATCACCCCGCCCCATTCTCCCGCTTTCCATCACCCCGCCCCATTCTCCCGCTTTCCATCACCCCGCCCCATTCTCCCGCTTTCCATAACCCCGCCCCATTCTCCCGCTTTAGATCGCCCTGCCCCATTCTCCCGCTTTCCATCGCCCCGCCCCAATCTCCCGCTTTCCATCGCCCCGCCGCATTCTCCCTCTTTCCATCACCCCGCCCCATTCTCCCTCTTTCCATCACCCCGCCCCATTCTCCCGCATTCCATCACCCCGCCCCATTCTCCCGCTTTCCATCACCCCGCCCCATTCTCCCGCTTTCCATCACCCCGCCCCATTCTCCCGCTTTCCATCACCCCGCCCCATTCTCCCGCTTTCCATCACCCCGCCCCATTCTCCCGCTTTCCATCACCCCGCCCCATTCTCCCGCTTTCCATCGCCCCGCCCCATTCTCCCGCTTTCCATCGCCCCGCCCCAATCTCCCGCTTTCCATCGCCCCGCCCCAATCTCCCGCTTTCCATCGCCCCGCCCCAATATCCCGCTTTCCATCGCCCCGCCCCATTCTCCCGCTTTCCATCACCCCGCCCCATTCTGCCTCTTCCCATCGCCCCGCCCCATTCTCTCTCTTTCCATCACCCCGCCCCATTCTCTCGCTTTCCATCACCCCGCCTCATTCTCCCTCTTTCCATCGCCCCGCCCCATTCTCCCGCTTTCCATCGCCCGCCCCATTCTCCCTCTTCCCATCACCCAACCCCATTCTCCCTCTTTCCATCACCCAGCCCCATTCTCCCTCTTTCCATCACCCCGCCCCATTCTCCCTCTTTCCATCACCCCGCCCCATTCTCCCTCTTTCCATCACCCCGCCCCATTCTCCCTCTTTCCATCACCCCGCCACATTCTCCCGCTTTCCATCACCCCGCCCCATTCCCCCTCTTTCGATCGCCCCGCTTCATTCTCCCTCTTTCCATCACCCCGCCCCATTCTCCCGCTTTCCATCACCCCGCCCCATTCTCCCTCTTTCCATCGCCCCGCCCCATTCTCCCTCTTTCCATCACCCAGCCCCATTCTCCCTCTTTCCATCACCCAACCCCATTCTCCCTCTTTCCATCACCCCGCCCCATTCTCCCTCTTTCCATCACCCCACCCCATTCTCCCTCTTTCCATCACCCCGCCCCGTTCTCTCGCTTTCCATCGCCCCGTCTCATTCTCCCTCTTTCTATTGCCCCGCCCCATTCTCCCGCTTTCCATCACCCCGCCCTATTCTCTATCTTTCCATCACCCCGCCCCGTTCTCCCTCTTTCCATTACCCCTCCCCGTTCTCCCGCTTTCCATCGCCCCGCCCCAATCTCCCGCTTTCCATCGCCCCGCCGCATTCTCCCTCTTTCCATCACCCCGCCCCATTCTCCCTCTTTCCATCACCCCGCCCCATTCTCCCGCTTTCCATCACCCCCCTCCATTCTCCCGCTTTCCATCGCCCCGCCCCATTCTCCCGCTTTCCATCGCCCCGCCCCAATCTCCCGCTTTCCATCACCCCGCCGCATTCTCTCTCTTTCCATCACCCCGCCCCATTCTGCCTCTTCCCATCGCCCCGCCCCATTCTCCCTCTTTCCATCACCCCGCCCCATTCTCCCGCTTTCCATCACCCCGCTCCATTCTTCCTCTTTCCATCGCCCCGCCCCATTCTCCTGCTTTCCATCGCCCCGCCCCATTCTCCCTCTTTCCATCACCCAGCCCCATTCTCCCTCTTTCTAAAACCCAGCCCCATTTTCCCTCTTTCCATCACCCAGCCCCATTCTCCCTCTTTCCATCACCCCGCCCCATTCTCCCTCTTTCCATCACCCTGCCCCATTCTCCCGCTTTCCATCACCCCGCCCCATTCTCCCGCTTTCCATCACCCCGCCCCATTCCTGCTTTCCATCACCCCGCCCCATTCTCCTGCTTTCAATCACCCCGCCCCATTCTCCCGCTTTCCGTCACCCCGCCCCATTCTCCCGCTTTCCATCACCCCGCCCCATTCTCCCGCTTTCCATCGCCCCGCCCCACTCTCCCGCTTTCCATCGCCCCGCCCCAATCTCCCGCTTTCCATCACCCCGCCCCATTCTCCCGCTTTCCATCACCCCTCCCCATTCTGCCTTTTCCCATCGCCCCGCCCCATTCTCTCTCTTTCCATCACCCCGCCCCATTCTCCCGCCTTCCATCGCCCCGCCTCATTCTCCCTCTTTCCATCGCCCCGCCCCATTCTCCCGCTTTCCATCGCCCCGCCCCATTCTCCCTCTTTCCATCACCCAACCCTATTCTCCCTCTTTCCATCACCCAGCCCCATTCTCCCTCTTTCCAACACCCCGCCCCATTCTCCCTTTTTCCATCACCCCGCCCCATTCTCCCTCTTTCCATCAACCCGCCCCATTCTCCCTCTTTCCATCACCCCGCCCCATGCTCCCGCTTTCCATCACCCCGCCCCATTCTCCCTCTTTCGATCGCCCCGCCCCATTCTCCTTCTTTCCATCACCCCGCCCCATTCTCCCTCTTTCCATCGCCCCGCCCCATTCTCCCTCTTTCCATCACCCAGCCCCATTCTCCCTCTTTCCATCACCCAACCCCATTCTCCCTCTTTCCATCACCCCGCCCCATTCTCCCTCTTTCCATCACCCTGCCCCATTCTCCCTCTTTCCATCACCCCGCCCCGTTCTCTCGCTTTCTATTGCCCCGCCCCATTCTCCCGCTTTCCATCACCCCGCCCCATTCTCTATCTTTCCATCACCTCGCCCCGTTCTCCCTCTTTCCATTACCCCGCCCTGTTCTCCCGCTTTCCATCATCCCGCCCCATTCTCCCGCTTTCCATCACCCCGCCCCATTCTCCCTCTTTCCATCACCCAGCCCCATTCTCCCGCTTTCCATCGCCCCGCCCCATTCTTCCGTTTTCCATCACTCCTCCTCATTCTCCCTCTTTCCATCACCCCGCCCCATTCTCCCTCTTTCCATCACCCCGCCCCATTCTCCCGCTTTCCATCACTCCGCCCCATCTCCCTCTTTCCATCACCCCGCCCCATTATCCCGCTTTCCATTGCCCCGCCCCATTCTCCCGCTTTCCATCACCCTGCCCCATTCTCCCGCTTTCCATCACCCCGCCCCATTCTCCCTCTTTCCATCACCCCGCCCCATTCTCCCACTTTCCATCACCCCGCCCCATTCTCCCTCTATCCATCACCCAGCCCCATTATCCCTCTTTCCACTACCCTGCCCCGTTCTCCCTCTTTCCATCACCCCGCCCCCTTCTCCTGCTTTCCATCTCCCCGCCCCATTCTCCCGCTTTCCATCACCCCGCCCCATTCTCCCGCTTTCCATCACCCCGCCCCATTCTCGCGCTTTCAATCACCCCGCCCCATTCTCCCGCTTTCCATCACCCCGCCCCATTCTCCCGCTTTCCATCACCCCGCCCCATTCTCCCGCTTTCCATCACCCAGCCCCATTCCCCTTCTTTCAAACACCCCGCCCCATTATCCCGCTTTCCATCACCCAGCCCCATTCTCCCTCTTTCCATCACCCAGCCCCATTCTCCCTCTTCCCATCACCCAGCCCCATTCTCCCTCTTTCCATCACCCCGCCCCATTCTCCCAATTTCCATCACTCAGCCCCATTCTCCCGCTTTCCATCACCCCGCCCCATTCTCCCGCTTTCCATCGCCCTGCCCCATTCTCCCGCTTTCCATCGCCCCGCCCCATTCTCCCTCTTTCCATCACCCCGCCCCATTCTCCCGCTTTCCATCGCCCCGCCCCATTCTCCCTCTTTCAATCACCCCGCCCATTCTCCCACTTTCCATCACCCCGCACCATTCTTTCTCTATCCATCACCCCGCCCCATTCTCCCTCTTTCCATTACCCTGCCCCGTTCTCCCTCTTTCCATCACCACGCCCCATTCTCCCTCTTTCCATCACCCAGCCCCATTCTCCTGCTTTCCATCACCCCGCCCCGCTCTCCCTCTTTCCATTTCCCCGCCCCGTTCTCCCGCTTTCCATCACCCGCCCATTTCTCCCACTTTCCATCACCCCGCCCCATTCTCCCTCTTTCCATCACCCCACCCCATTCTCCCTCTTTCCATCACCCAGCCCCATTCTCTCGCTTTCCATCACCGCGCCCCATTCTCCTGCTTTCCATCACCCCGCCCCATTCTCCCGCTTTCCATCACCCCGCCCCATTCTCCCGCTTTCCATCACCCCGCCCCATTCTCCCGCTTTCCATCACCCCGCCCCATCTCCTGCTTTCCATCGCCCAGCCCCATTCTCCCTCTTTTCATCGCCCCGCCCCATTCTTCCGCTTTCCATCACCCCGCCCCATTCTCCCTCTTTCCATCACCCCGCTCCATTCTCCCTCTTTCCATCACCCCGCCCCATTCTCCCGCTTTCCATCACCCCGCCCCATCTCCCTCTTTCCATCACCCCACCCCATTCTCCCGCTTTCCATCACCCTGCCCCATTCTCCCTCGTTCAATCACCCCGCCCCATTCTCCCTCTTTCCATCACCCCGCCCCATTCTCCCGCTTTCCATCACCCGCCTCATTCTCCCGCTTTCCATCACCCCGCCCCATTCTCCCGCTTTCCATCACCCCGCCCCACTCTCCTGCTTTCCATCACCCCGCCCCATTCTCCCATTTCCATCACCCCACCCCATTCTCCCGCTATCCATCACCCCGCCCCATTCTCCCGCTTTTCATCACCCCGCCCCATTCTCCCGCTTTTCATCACCCCGCCCCATTCTCCCGCTTTCCATCACCCCGCCCCATTATCCCGCTATCCATCACCCCGCCCCATTCTCCCGCTTTTCATCACCCCGCCCCATTCTCCCGCTTTCCATCACCCCGCCCCATTCTCCCGCTTTCCATCACCCCGCCCCATCTCCCGCTTTCCATCGCCCAGCCCCATTCTCCCGCTTTCCATCGCCCCGCCCCATTCTTCCGCTTTCCATCACCCCGCCCCATTCTCCCTCTTTCCATCGCCCCGCTCCATTCTCCCTCTTTCCATCACCCCGCCCCATTCTCCCGCTTTCCATCACCCCGCCCCATCTCCCTCTTTCCATCACCCCACCCCATTCTCCCGCTTTCCATCACCCCGCCCCATTCTCCCTCGTTCAATCACCCCGCCCCATTCTCCCTCTTTCCATCACCCCGCCCCATTCTCCCGCTTTCCATCACCCCGCCCCATTCTCCCGCTTTCCAAAACTCCGCCCCATTCTCCCGCTTTCCATCACTCGCCCCATTCTCCCGCTTTCCATCACCCCGCCCCATTCTCCCGCTTTCCATCACCCCGCCCCACTCTCCTGCTTTCCATCACCCCGCCCCATTCTCCCATTTCCATCACCCCACCCCATTCTCCCACTATCCATCACCCCGCCCCATTCTCCCGCTTTTCATCACCCCGCCCCATTCTCCCGCTTTCCATCGCCCAGCCCCATTCTCTCGCTTTCCATCGCCCCGCCCCATTCTCCAGCTTTCCATCACCCCGCCCCATTCTCCCTCTTTCCATCACCCCGCCCCACTCTCCCTCTTTCCATCGCCACGCCCCATTCTCCCTCATTCCATCGCCCCGCCCCATTCTCCCACTTTCCATCACCCCGCCCCATTCTCCCTCTTTCCATCACCCCGCCCCATTCTCCCTCTTTCAATCGCCCCGCCCCGTTCTCCCGCTTTCCATCGCCCCGCCCCGTTCTCCCGATTTCCATCACCCGCCCCATTCTCCCGCTTTCCATCACCCCACCCCATTCTCCGGCATTCCATCACCCCGCCCCACTCTCCCGCTTTCCATCACCCCGCCCCATTCTCCCGCTTTCCATCACCCCGCCCCATTCTCCCGCTTTCCATCACCCCGCCGCATTCTCCCTCTTTCCATCGCCCCGCCCCATTCTCCCTCTTTCCTTCGCCCCGCCCCATTCTCCCGCTTTCCATCGCCCCGCCCCATTCTCCCGCATTCCATCACCCCGCCCCATTCTCCCGCTTTCCATCACCCAGCCCCATTCCCCTTCTTTCAAATACCCCGCCCCATTATCCCGCTTTCCATCACCCAGCCCCATTCTCCCTCTTTCCATCACCCAGCCCCATTCTCCCTCTTCCCATCACCCAGCCCCATTCTCCCTCTTTCCATCACCCGCCCCATGTCCCTCTTTCCATCACCCCACCCCATTCTCCTGCTCCATCACCCCGCCCCATTCTCTCTCGTTCAATCACCCCGCCCCATTCTCCCTCTTTCCATCACCCCGCCCCATTCTCCCGCTTTCCATCACCCCGCCCCATTCTCCCGCTTTCCATAACTCCGCCCCATTCTCCCACTTTCCATCACCCGCCCCATTCTCCCGCTTTCCATCACCCCGCCCCATTCTCCCGCTTTCCATCACCCCGCCCAACTCTCCTGCTTTCCATCACCCCGCCCCATTCTCCCATTTCCATCACCCCACCCCATTCTCCCGCTATCCATCACCCCGCCCCATTTTCCCGCTTTTCATCACCCCGCCCCATTCTCCCGCTTTCCATCGCCCAGCCCCATTCTCTCGCTTTCCATCGGCCCGCCCCATTCTCCCGCTTTCCATCACCCCGCTCCATTCTCCCTCTTTCCATCACCCCGCCCCACTCCCCCTCTTTCCATCGCCACGCCCCATTCTCCCTCATTCCATCGCCCCGCCCCATTCTCCCACTTTCCATCACCCCGCCCCATTCTCCCTCTTTCCATCACCCTGCCCCATTCTCCCTCTTTCAATCGCCCCGCCCCGTTCTCCCGCTTTCCATCGCCCCGCCCCGTTCTCTCGATTTCCATCACCCGCCCCATTCTCCCGCTTTCTATCACCCCACCCCATTCTCCCGCATTCCATCACCCCGCCCCACTCTCCCGCTTTCCATCACCCCGCCCCATTCTCCCGCTTTCCATCACCCCGCCCCATTCTCCCGCTTTCTATCACCCCGCCTCATTCTCCCTCTTTCCATCGCCCCGCCCCATTCTCCCTCTTTCCATCGCCCCGCCCCATTCTCCCGCTTTCCATCTCCCCGCCCCATTCTCCCCCTTTCCATCGCCCCGCCCCATTCTCCCGCTTTCCATCACCCCGCCCCATTCTCCCGCTTTCCATCACCCAGCCCCATTCCCCTTCTTTCAAACACCCCGCCCCATTATCCCGCTTTCCATCACCCAGCCCCATTCTCCCTCTTTCCATCACCCAGCCCCATTCTCCCTCTTCCCATCACCCAGCCCCATTCTCCCTCTTTCCATCACCCCGCCCCATTCTCCCTCTTTCCATCACCCAGCCCCATTCTCCCGCTTTCCATCACCTCGCCCCATTCTCCCGCTTTCCATCGCCCCGCCCCATTCTCCCGCTTTCCATCGCCCCGCCCCATTCTCCCACTTTCCATCACCCCGCCCCATTCTCCCGCTTTCCATCGCCCCGCCCCATTCTCCCTCTTTCAATCACCCCGCCCCATTCTCCCACTTTCCATCACCCCGCACCATTCTTTCTCTATCCATCACCCCGCCCCATTCTCCCTCTGTCCATCACCCAGCCCCATTCTCCCTCTTTCCATTACCCTGCCCCGTTCTCCCTCTTTCCATCACCCCGCCCCATTCTCCCTCTTTCCATCACCCCGCCCCATTCTCCCTCTTTCCATCACCCAGCCCCATTCTCCTGCTTTCCATCACCCCGCCCCACTCTCCCTCTTTCCATTACCCCGCCCCGTTCTCCCGCTTTCCATCACCCGCCCCTTTCTCCCACTTTCCATCACCCCGCCAAATTCTCCCTCTTTCCATCACCCCACCCCATTCTCCCTCTTTCCATCACCCAGCCCCATTCTCCCGCTTTCCATCACCGCGCCCCATTCTCCCGCTTTCCATCACCCCGCCCCATTCTCCCGCTTTCCATCACCCCGCCCCATTCTCCCGCTTTCCATCGCCCTGCCCCATTCTCCCGCTTTCCATCGCCCCGCCCCATTCTCCCGCTTTCCATCGCCCCGCCCCATTCTCCCGCTTTCCATCGCCCAGCCCCATTCTCCCGCTTTCCATCGCCCCGCCCCATTCTTCCGCTTTCCATCACCCCGCCCCATTCTCCCTCTTTCCATCACCCCGCTCCATTCTCCCTCTTTCCATCACCCCGCCCCATTCTCCCGCTTTCCATCACCCCGCCCCATCTCCCTCTTTCCATCACCCCACCCCATTCTCCCGCTTTCCATCACCCCGCCCCATTCTCCCTCGTTCAATCACCCCGCCCCATTCTCCCTCTTTCCATCACCCCGCCCCATTCTCCTGCTTTCCATCGCCCCGCCCCATTCTCCCGCTTTCCATAACTCCGCCCCATTCTCCCGCTTTCCATCACCCGCCCCATTCTCCCGCTTTCCATCACCCCGCCCCATTCTCCCGCTTTCCATCACCCCGCCCCACTCTCCTGCTTTCCATCACCCCGCCCCATTCTCCCATTTCCATCACCCCACACCGTTCTCCCGCTATCCATCACCCCGCCCCATTCTCCCGCTTTTCATCACCCCACCCCATTCTCCCGCTTTCCATCGCCGAGCCCCATTCTCTCGCTTTCCATCGCCCCGCCCCATTCTCCCGCTTTCCATCACCCCGCCCCATTCTCCCTCTTTCCATCACCCCGCCCCACTCTCCCTCTTTCCATCGCCACACCCCATTATCCCTCATTCCATCACCCCGCCCCATTCTCCCACTTTCCATCACCCCGCCCCATTCTCCCACTTTCCATCACCCCGCCCTATTCTCCCTCTTTCAATCGCCCCGCCCCATTCTCCCGCTTTCCATCGCCCCGCCCCGTTCTCCCGATTTCCATCACCCGCCCCATTCTCCCGCTTTCCATCACCCCACCCCATTCTCCCGCATTCCATCACGCCGCCCCACTCTCCCGCTTTCCATCACCCGCCCCATTCTCCCGCTTTCCATCACCCCGCCCCATTCTCCCGCTTTCCATCACCCCGCCCAACTCTCCTGCTTTCCATCACCCCGCCCCATTCTCCCATTTCCATCACCCCACCCCATTCTCCCGCTATCCATCACCCCGCCCCATTTTCCCGCTTTTCATCACCCCGCCCCATTCTCCCGCTTTCCATCGCCCAGCCCCATTCTCTCGCTTTCCATCGGCCCGCCCCATTCTCCCGCTTTCCATCACCCCGCTCCATTCTCCCTCTTTCCATCACCCCGCCCCACTCCCCCTCTTTCCATCGCCACGCCCCATTCTCCCTCATTCCATCGCCCCGCCCCATTCTCCCACTTTCCATCACCCCGCCCCATTCTCCCTCTTTCCATCACCCTGCCCCATTCTCCCTCTTTCAATCGCCCCGCCCCGTTCTCCCGCTTTCCATCACCCCGCCCCGTTCTCTCGATTTCCATCACCCGCCCCATTCTCCCGCTTTCTATCACCCCACCCCATTCTCCCGCATTCCATCACCCCGCCCCACTCTCCCGCTTTCCATCACCCCGCCCCATTCTCCCGCTTTCCATCACCCCGCCCCATTCTCCCGCTTTCTATCACCCCGCCTCATTCTCCCTCTTTCCATCGCCCCGCCCCATTCTCCCTCTTTCCATCGCCCCGCCCCATTCTCCCGCTTTCCATCTCCCCGCCCCATTCTCCCCCTTTCCATCGCCCCGCCCCATTCTCCCGCTTTCCATCACCCCGCCCCATTCTCCCGCTTTCCATCACCCAGCCCCATTCCCCTTCTTTCAAACACCCCGCCCCATTATCCCGCTTTCCATCACCCAGCCCCATTCTCCCTCTTTCCATCACCCAGCCCCATTCTCCCTCTTCCCATCACCCAGCCCCATTCTCCCTCTTTCCATCACCCCGCCCCATTCTCCCTCTTTCCATCACCCAGCCCCATTCTCCCGCTTTCCATCACCTCGCCCCATTCTCCCGCTTTCCATCGCCCCGCCCCATTCTCCCGCTTTCCATCGCCCCGCCCCATTCTCCCACTTTCCATCACCCCGCCCCATTCTCCCGCTTTCCATCGCCCCGCCCCATTCTCCCTCTTTCAATCACCCCGCCCCATTCTCCCACTTTCCATCACCCCGCACCATTCTTTCTCTATCCATCACCCCGCCCCATTCTCCCTCTGTCCATCACCCAGCCCCATTCTCCCTCTTTCCATTACCCTGCCCCGTTCTCCCTCTTTCCATCACCCCGCCCCATTCTCCCTCTTTCCATCACCCCGCCCCATTCTCCCTCTTTCCATCACCCAGCCCCATTCTCCTGCTTTCCATCACCCCGCCCCGCTCTCCCTCTTTCCATTACCCCGCCCCGTTCTCCCGCTTTCCATCACCCGCCCCTTTCTCCCACTTTCCATCACCCCGCCCAATTCTCCCTCTTTCCATCACCCCACCCCATTCTCCCTCTTTCCATCACCCAGCCCCATTCTCCCGCTTTCCATCACCGCGCCCCATTCTCCCGCTTTCCATCACCCCGCCCCATTCTCCCGCTGTCCATCACCCCGCCCCATTCTCCCTGCGAAGAAAGCTATTCTACGGGACAGCTGAATTGTGTGGGACGCATGGTCAGAGTTATGGCAGTAATTCTTGACAGAGTGGTTGGTTGCCTTGGTAGAACTCAAGCGTAGTTTCACTAAGAAAAGTTTCACTACGACACAGAGATGGAGGTGCGTTTTGAGTCGACTCACAAGTCGCGCGAGGCGGAGCGACAAGGGCACCGAGATGGAGAGGTGCGTGGGGCTCACTACGACACGGAGATGGAGGTGCGTTTTGAGTCGACTCACAAGTCGCGCGAGGCGGAGCGACAAGGGCACCGAGATGGAGAGGTGCGTGGGGCTCACTACGACACGGAGATGGAGGTGCGTTTTGAGTCGACTCACAAGTCGCGCGAGGCGGAGCGACAAGGGCACCGAGATGGAGAGGTGCGTGGGGCTCACTACGACACGGAGATGGAGGTGCGTTTTGAGTCGACTCACAAGTCGCGCGAGGCGGAGCGACAAGGGCACCGAGATGGAGAGGTGCGTGGGGCTCACTACGACACGGAGATGGAGGTGCGTTTTTGAGTCGACTCACAAGTCGCGCGAGGCGGAGCGACAAGGGCACCGAGATGGAGAGGTGCGTGGGGCTCACTACGACACGGAGATGGAGGTGCGTTTTGAGTCGACTCACAAGTCGCGCGAGGCGGAGCGACAAGGGCTCCGAGATGGAGAGGTGCGTGGGGCTCACTACGACACGGAGATGGAGGTGCGTTTTGAGTCGACTCACAAGTCGCGCGAGGCGGAGCGACAAGGGCTCCGAGATGGAGAGGTGCGTGGGGCTCACTACGACACGGAGATGGAGGTGCGTTTTGAGTCGACTCACAAGTCGCGCGAGGCGGAGCGACAAGGGCACCGAGATGGAGAGGTGCGTGGGGCTCACTACGACACGGAGATGGAGGTGCGTTTTGAGTCGACTCACAAGTCGCGCGAGGCGGAGCGACAAGGGCACCGAGATGGAGAGGTGCGTGGGGCTCACTACGACACGGAGATGGAGGTGCGTTTTGAGTCGACTCACAAGTCGCGCGAGGCGGAGCGACAAGGGCACCGAGATGGAGAGGTGCGTGGGGCTCACTACGACACGGAGATGGAGGTGCGTTTTGAGTCGACTCACAAGTCGCGCGAGGCGGAGCGACAAGGGCACCGAGATGGAGAGGTGCGTGGGGCTCACTACGACACGGAGATGGAGGTGCGTTTTGAGTCGACTCACAAGTCGCGCGAGGCGGAGCGACAAGGGCACCGAGATGGAGAGGTGCGTGGGGCTCACTACGACACGGAGATGGAGGTGCGTTTTGAGTCGACTCACAAGTCGCGCGAGGCGGAGCGACAAGGGCACCGAGATGGAGAGGTGCGTGGGGCTCACTACGACACGGAGATGGAGGTGCGTTTTGAGTCGACTCACAAGTCGCGCGAGGCGGAGCGACAAGGGCACCGAGATGGAGAGGTGCGTGGGGCTCACTACGACACGGAGATGGAGGTGCGTTTTGAGTCGACTCACAAGTCGCGCGAGGCGGAGCGACAAGGGCACCGAGATGGAGAGGTGCGTGGGGCTCACTACGACACGGAGATGGAGGTGCGTTTTGAGTCGACTCACAAGTCGCGCGAGGCGGAGCGACAAGGGCACCGAGATGGAGAGGTGCGTGGGGCTCACTACGACACGGCGATGGAGGTGCGTTTTGAGTCGACTCACAAGTCGCGCGAGGCGGAGCGACAAGGGCACCGAGATGGAGAGGTGCGTGGGGCTCACTACGACACGGCGATGGAGGTGCGTTTTGAGTCGACTCACAAGTCGCGCGAGGCGGAGCGACAAGGGCACCGAGAGGGAGAGGTGCGTGGGGCTCACTACGACACGGCGATGGAGGTGCGTTTTGAGTCGACTCACAAGTCGCGCGAGGCGGAGCGACAAGGGCACCGAGAGGGAGAGGTGCGTGGGGCTCACTACGACACGGCGATGGAGGTGCGTTTTGAGTCGACTCACAAGTCGCGCGAGGCGGAGCGACAAGGGCACCGAGAGGGAGAGGTGCGTGGGGCTCACTACGACACGGCGATGGAGGTGCGTTTTGAGTCGACTCACAAGTCGCGCGAGGCGGAGCGACAAGGGCACCGAGAGGGAGAGGTGCGTGGGGCTCACTACGACACGGCGATGGAGGTGCGTTTTGAGTCGACTCACAAGTCGCGCGAGGCGGAGCGACAAGGGCACCGAGAGGGAGAGGTGCGTGGGGCTCACTACGACACGGCGATGGAGGTGCGTTTTGAGTCGACTCACAAGTCGCGCGAGGCGGAGCGACAAGGGCACCGAGAGGGAGAGGTGCGTGGGGCTCACTACGACACGGCGATGGAGGTGCGTTTTGAGTCGACTCACAAGTCGCGCGAGGCGGAGCGACAAGGGCACCGAGAGGGAGAGGTGCGTGGGGCTCACTACGACACGGCGATGGAGGTGCGTTTTGAGTCGACTCACAAGTCGCGCGAGGCGGAGCGACAAGGGCACCGAGAGGGAGAGGTGCGTGGGGCTCACTACGACACGGCGATGGAGGTGCGTTTTGAGTCGACTCACAAGTCGCGCGAGGCGGAGCGACAAGGGCACCGAGAGGGAGAGGTGCGTGGGGCTCACTACGACACGGCGATGGAGGTGCGTTTTGAGTCGACTCACAAGTCGCGCGAGGCGGAGCGACAAGGGCACCGAGAGGGAGAGGTGCGTGGGGCTCACTACGACACGGCGATGGAGGTGCGTTTTGAGTCGACTCACAAGTCGCGCGAGGCGGAGCGACAAGGGCACCGAGAGGGAGAGGTGCGTGGGGCTCACTACGACACGGCGATGGAGGTGCGTTTTGAGTCGACTCACAAGTCGCGCGAGGCGGAGCGACAAGGGCACCGAGAGGGAGAGGTGCGTGGGGCTCACTACGACACGGCGATGGAGGTGCGTTTTGAGTCGACTCACAAGTCGCGCGAGGCGGAGCGACAAGGGCACCGAGAGGGAGAGGTGCGTGGGGCTCACTACGACACGGCGATGGAGGTGCGTTTTGAGTCGACTCACAAGTCGCGCGAGGCGGAGCGACAAGGGCACCGAGAGGGAGAGGTGCGTGGGGCTCACTACGACACGGCGATGGAGGTGCGTTTTGAGTCGACTCACAAGTCGCGCGAGGCGGAGCGACAAGGGCACCGAGAGGGAGAGGTGCGTGGGGCTCACTACGACACGGCGATGGAGGTGCGTTTTGAGTCGACTCACAAGTCGCGCGAGGCGGAGCGACAAGGGCACCGAGAGGGAGAGGTGCGTGGGGCTCACTACGACACGGCGATGGAGGTGCGTTTTGAGTCGACTCACAAGTCGCGCGAGGCGGAGCGACAAGGGCACCGAGAGGGAGAGGTGCGTGGGGCTCACTACGACACGGCGATGGAGGTGCGTTTTGAGTCGACTCACAAGTCGCGCGAGGCGGAGCGACAAGGGCACCGAGAGGGAGAGGTGCGTGGGGCTCACTACGACACGGCGATGGAGGTGCGTTTTGAGTCGACTCACAAGTCGCGCGAGGCGGAGCGACAAGGGCACCGAGAGGGAGAGGTGCGTGGGGCTCACTACGACACGGCGATGGAGGTGCGTTTTGAGTCGACTCACAAGTCGCGCGAGGCGGAGCGACAAGGGCACCGAGAGGGAGAGGTGCGTGGGGCTCACTACGACACGGCGATGGAGGTGCGTTTTGAGTCGACTCACAAGTCGCGCGAGGCGGAGCGACAAGGGCACCGAGAGGGAGAGGTGCGTGGGGCTCACTACGACACGGCGATGGAGGTGCGTTTTGAGTCGACTCACAAGTCGCGCGAGGCGGAGCGACAAGGGCACCGAGAGGGAGAGGTGCGTGGGGCTCACTACGACACGGCGATGGAGGTGCGTTTTGAGTCGACTCACAAGTCGCGCGAGGCGGAGCGACAAGGGCACCGAGAGGGAGAGGTGCGTGGGGCTCACTACGACACGGCGATGGAGGTGCGTTTTGAGTCGACTCACAAGTCGCGCGAGGCGGAGCGACAAGGGCACCGAGAGGGAGAGGTGCGTGGGGCTCACTACGACACGGCGATGGAGGTGCGTTTTGAGTCGACTCACAAGTCGCGCGAGGCGGAGCGACAAGGGCACCGAGAGGGAGAGGTGCGTGGGGCTCACTACGACACGGCGATGGAGGTGCGTTTTGAGTCGACTCACAAGTCGCGCGAGGCGGAGCGACAAGGGCACCGAGAGGGAGAGGTGCGTGGGGCTCACTACGACACGGCGATGGAGGTGCGTTTTGAGTCGACTCACAAGTCGCGCGAGGCGGAGCGACAAGGGCACCGAGAGGGAGAGGTGCGTGGGGCTCACTACGACACGGCGATGGAGGTGCGTTTTGAGTCGACTCACAAGTCGCGCGAGGCGGAGCGACAAGGGCACCGAGAGGGAGAGGTGCGTGGGGCTCACTACGACACGGCGATGGAGGTGCGTTTTGAGTCGACTCACAAGTCGCGCGAGGCGGAGCGACAAGGGCACCGAGAGGGAGAGGTGCGTGGGGCTCACTACGACACGGCGATGGAGGTGCGTTTTGAGTCGACTCACAAGTCGCGCGAGGCGGAGCGACAAGGGCACCGAGAGGGAGAGGTGCGTGGGGCTCACTACGACACGGCGATGGAGGTGCGTTTTGAGTCGACTCACAAGTCGCGCGAGGCGGAGCGACAAGGGCACCGAGAGGGAGAGGTGCGTGGGGCTCACTACGACACGGCGATGGAGGTGCGTTTTGAGTCGACTCACAAGTCGCGCGAGGCGGAGCGACAAGGGCACCGAGAGGGAGAGGTGCGTGGGGCTCACTACGACACGGCGATGGAGGTGCGTTTTGAGTCGACTCACAAGTCGCGCGAGGCGGAGCGACAAGGGCACCGAGAGGGAGAGGTGCGTGGGGCTCACTACGACACGGCGATGGAGGTGCGTTTTGAGTCGACTCACAAGTCGCGCGAGGCGGAGCGACAAGGGCACCGAGAGGGAGAGGTGCGTGGGGCTCACTACGACACGGCGATGGAGGTGCGTTTTGAGTCGACTCACAAGTCGCGCGAGGCGGAGCGACAAGGGCACCGAGAGGGAGAGGTGCGTGGGGCTCACTACGACACGGCGATGGAGGTGCGTTTTGAGTCGACTCACAAGTCGCGCGAGGCGGAGCGACAAGGGCACCGAGAGGGAGAGGTGCGTGGGGCTCACTACGACACGGCGATGGAGGTGCGTTTTGAGTCGACTCACAAGTCGCGCGAGGCGGAGCGACAAGGGCACCGAGAGGGAGAGGTGCGTGGGGCTCACTACGACACGGCGATGGAGGTGCGTTTTGAGTCGACTCACAAGTCGCGCGAGGCGGAGCGACAAGGGCACCGAGAGGGAGAGGTGCGTGGGGCTCACTACGACACGGCGATGGAGGTGCGTTTTGAGTCGACTCACAAGTCGCGCGAGGCGGAGCGACAAGGGCACCGAGAGGGAGAGGTGCGTGGGGCTCACTACGACACGGCGATGGAGGTGCGTTTTGAGTCGACTCACAAGTCGCGCGAGGCGGAGCGACAAGGGCACCGAGAGGGAGAGGTGCGTGGGGCTCACTACGACACGGCGATGGAGGTGCGTTTTGAGTCGACTCACAAGTCGCGCGAGGCGGAGCGACAAGGGCACCGAGAGGGAGAGGTGCGTGGGGCTCACTACGACACGGCGATGGAGGTGCGTTTTGAGTCGACTCACAAGTCGCGCGAGGCGGAGCGACAAGGGCACCGAGAGGGAGAGGTGCGTGGGGCTCACTACGACACGGCGATGGAGGTGCGTTTTGAGTCGACTCACAAGTCGCGCGAGGCGGAGCGACAAGGGCACCGAGAGGGAGAGGTGCGTGGGGCTCACTACGACACGGCGATGGAGGTGCGTTTTGAGTCGACTCACAAGTCGCGCGAGGCGGAGCGACAAGGGCACCGAGAGGGAGAGGTGCGTGGGGCTCACTACGACACGGCGATGGAGGTGCGTTTTGAGTCGACTCACAAGTCGCGCGAGGCGGAGCGACAAGGGCACCGAGAGGGAGAGGTGCGTGGGGCTCACTACGACACGGCGATGGAGGTGCGTTTTGAGTCGACTCACAAGTCGCGCGAGGCGGAGCGACAAGGGCACCGAGAGGGAGAGGTGCGTGGGGCTCACTACGACACGGCGATGGAGGTGCGTTTTGAGTCGACTCACAAGTCGCGCGAGGCGGAGCGACAAGGGCACCGAGAGGGAGAGGTGCGTGGGGCTCACTACGACACGGCGATGGAGGTGCGTTTTGAGTCGACTCACAAGTCGCGCGAGGCGGAGCGACAAGGGCACCGAGAGGGAGAGGTGCGTGGGGCTCACTACGACACGGCGATGGAGGTGCGTTTTGAGTCGACTCACAAGTCGCGCGAGGCGGAGCGACAAGGGCACCGAGAGGGAGAGGTGCGTGGGGCTCACTACGACACGGCGATGGAGGTGCGTTTTGAGTCGACTCACAAGTCGCGCGAGGCGGAGCGACAAGGGCACCGAGAGGGAGAGGTGCGTGGGGCTCACTACGACACGGCGATGGAGGTGCGTTTTGAGTCGACTCACAAGTCGCGCGAGGCGGAGCGACAAGGGCACCGAGAGGGAGAGGTGCGTGGGGCTCACTACGACACGGCGATGGAGGTGCGTTTTGAGTCGACTCACAAGTCGCGCGAGGCGGAGCGACAAGGGCACCGAGAGGGAGAGGTGCGTGGGGCTCACTACGACACGGCGATGGAGGTGCGTTTTGAGTCGACTCACAAGTCGCGCGAGGCGGAGCGACAAGGGCACCGAGAGGGAGAGGTGCGTGGGGCTCACTACGACACGGCGATGGAGGTGCGTTTTGAGTCGACTCACAAGTCGCGCGAGGCGGAGCGACAAGGGCACCGAGAGGGAGAGGTGCGTGGGGCTCACTACGACACGGCGATGGAGGTGCGTTTTGAGTCGACTCACAAGTCGCGCGAGGCGGAGCGACAAGGGCACCGAGAGGGAGAGGTGCGTGGGGCTCACTACGACACGGCGATGGAGGTGCGTTTTGAGTCGACTCACAAGTCGCGCGAGGCGGAGCGACAAGGGCACCGAGAGGGAGAGGTGCGTGGGGCTCACTACGACACGGCGATGGAGGTGCGTTTTGAGTCGACTCACAAGTCGCGCGAGGCGGAGCGACAAGGGCACCGAGAGGGAGAGGTGCGTGGGGCTCACTACGACACGGCGATGGAGGTGCGTTTTGAGTCGACTCACAAGTCGCGCGAGGCGGAGCGACAAGGGCACCGAGAGGGAGAGGTGCGTGGGGCTCACTACGACACGGCGATGGAGGTGCGTTTTGAGTCGACTCACAAGTCGCGCGAGGCGGAGCGACAAGGGCACCGAGAGGGAGAGGTGCGTGGGGCTCACTACGACACGGCGATGGAGGTGCGTTTTGAGTCGACTCACAAGTCGCGCGAGGCGGAGCGACAAGGGCACCGAGAGGGAGAGGTGCGTGGGGCTCACTACGACACGGCGATGGAGGTGCGTTTTGAGTCGACTCACAAGTCGCGCGAGGCGGAGCGACAAGGGCACCGAGAGGGAGAGGTGCGTGGGGCTCACTACGACACGGCGATGGAGGTGCGTTTTGAGTCGACTCACAAGTCGCGCGAGGCGGAGCGACAAGGGCACCGAGAGGGAGAGGTGCGTGGGGCTCACTACGACACGGCGATGGAGGTGCGTTTTGAGTCGACTCACAAGTCGCGCGAGGCGGAGCGACAAGGGCACCGAGAGGGAGAGGTGCGTGGGGCTCACTACGACACGGCGATGGAGGTGCGTTTTGAGTCGACTCACAAGTCGCGCGAGGCGGAGCGACAAGGGCACCGAGAGGGAGAGGTGCGTGGGGCTCACTACGACACGGCGATGGAGGTGCGTTTTGAGTCGACTCACAAGTCGCGCGAGGCGGAGCGACAAGGGCACCGAGAGGGAGAGGTGCGTGGGGCTCACTACGACACGGCGATGGAGGTGCGTTTTGAGTCGACTCACAAGTCGCGCGAGGCGGAGCGACAAGGGCACCGAGAGGGAGAGGTGCGTGGGGCTCACTACGACACGGCGATGGAGGTGCGTTTTGAGTCGACTCACAAGTCGCGCGAGGCGGAGCGACAAGGGCACCGAGAGGGAGAGGTGCGTGGGGCTCACTACGACACGGCGATGGAGGTGCGTTTTGAGTCGACTCACAAGTCGCGCGAGGCGGAGCGACAAGGGCACCGAGAGGGAGAGGTGCGTGGGGCTCACTACGACACGGCGATGGAGGTGCGTTTTGAGTCGACTCACAAGTCGCGCGAGGCGGAGCGACAAGGGCACCGAGAGGGAGAGGTGCGTGGGGCTCACTACGACACGGCGATGGAGGTGCGTTTTGAGTCGACTCACAAGTCGCGCGAGGCGGAGCGACAAGGGCACCGAGAGGGAGAGGTGCGTGGGGCTCACTACGACACGGCGATGGAGGTGCGTTTTGAGTCGACTCACAAGTCGCGCGAGGCGGAGCGACAAGGGCACCGAGAGGGAGAGGTGCGTGGGGCTCACTACGACACGGCGATGGAGGTGCGTTTTGAGTCGACTCACAAGTCGCGCGAGGCGGAGCGACAAGGGCACCGAGAGGGAGAGGTGCGTGGGGCTCACTACGACACGGCGATGGAGGTGCGTTTTGAGTCGACTCACAAGTCGCGCGAGGCGGAGCGACAAGGGCACCGAGAGGGAGAGGTGCGTGGGGCTCACTACGACACGGAGATGGAGGTGCGTTTTGAGTCGACTCACAAGTCGCGCGAGGCAGAGCGACAAGGGCACCGAGACGGAGAGGTGCGTGGGGCTCACTACGACACGGAGATGGAGGTGCGTTTTGAGTCGACTCACAAGTCGCGCGAGGCAGAGCGACAAGGGCACCGAGACGGAGAGGTGCGTGGGGCTCACTACGACACGGCGATGGAGGTGCGTTTTGAGTCGACTCACAAGTCGCGCGAGGCAGAGCGACAAGGGCACCGAGACGGAGAGGTGCGTGGGGCTCACTACGACACGGCGATGGAGGTGCGTTTTGAGTCGACTCACAAGTCGCGCGAGGCAGAGCGACAAGGGCACGGAGAGGGAGAGGTGCGTGGGGCTCACTACGACACGGAGATGGAGGTGCGTTTTGAGTCGACTCACAAGTCGCGCGAGGCAGAGCGACAAGGGCACCGAGAGGGAGAGGTGCTTGGGGCTCACTACGACACGGAGATGGAGGTGCGTTTTGAGTCGACTCACAAGTCGCGCGAGGCAGAGCGACAAGGGCACCGAGAGGGAGAGGTGCGTGGGGCTCACTACGACACGGCGATGGAGGTGCGTTTGAGTCGACTCACAAGTCGCGCGAGGCAGAGCGACAAGGGCACGGAGAGGGAGAGGTGCGTGGGGCTCACTACGACACGGCGATGGAGGTGCGTTTGAGTCGACTCACAAGTCGCGCGAGGCAGAGCGACAAGGGCACGGAGAGGGAGAGGTGCGTGGGGCTCACTACGACACGGCGATGGAGGTGCGTTTTGAGTCGACTCACAAGTCGCGCGAGGCAGAGCGACAAGGGCACGGAGAGGGAGAGGTGCGTGGGGCTCACTACGACACGGCGATGGAGGTGCGTTTTGAGTCGACTCACAAGTCGCGCGAGGCAGAGCGACAAGGGCACCGAGAGGGAGAGGTGCGTGGGGCTCACTACGACACGGCGATGGAGGTGCGTTTTGAGTCGACTCACAAGTCGCGCGCGGCAGAGCGACAAGGGCACCGAGAGGGAGAGGTGCGTGGGGCTCACTACGACACGGCGATGGAGGTGCGTTTTGAGTCGACTCACAAGTCGCGCGCGGCAGAGCGACAAGGGCACCGAGAGGGAGAGGTGCGTGGGGCTCACTACGACACGGCGATGGAGGTGCGTTTTGAGTCGACTCACAAGTCGCGCGCGGCAGAGCGACAAGGGCACCGAGAGGGAGAGGTGCGTGGGGCTCACTACGACACGGCGATGGAGGTGCGTTTTGAGTCGACTCACAAGTCGCGCGGGGCAGAGCGACAAGGGCACCGAGAGGGAGAGGTGCGTGGGGCTCACTACGACACGGCGATGGAGGTGCGTTTTGAGTCGACTCACAAGTCGCGCGGGGCAGAGCGACAAGGGCACCGAGAGGGAGAGGTGCGTGGGGCTCACTACGACACGGCGATGGAGGTGCGTTTTGAGTCGACTCACAAGTCGCGCGGGGCAGAGCGACAAGGGCACCGAGAGGGAGAGGTGCGTGGGGCTCACTACGACACGGCGATGGAGGTGCGTTTTGAGTCGACTCACAAGTCGCGCGGGGCAGAGCGACAAGGGCACCGAGAGGGAGAGGTGCGTGGGGCTCACTACGACACGGCGATGGAGGTGCGTTTTGAGTCGACTCACAAGTCGCGCGGGGCAGAGCGACAAGGGCACCGAGAGGGAGAGGTGCGTGGGGCTCACTACGACACGGCGATGGAGGTGCGTTTTGAGTCGACTCACAAGTCGCGCGGGGCAGAGCGACAAGGGCACCGAGAGGGAGAGGTGCGTGGGGCTCACTACGACACGGCGATGGAGGTGCGTTTTGAGTCGACTCACAAGTCGCGCGGGGCAGAGCGACAAGGGCACCGAGAGGGAGAGGTGCGTGGGGCTCACTACGACACGGCGATGGAGGTGCGTTTTGAGTCGACTCACAAGTCGCGCGGGGCAGAGCGACAAGGGCACCGAGAGGGAGAGGTGCGTGGGGCTCACTACGACACGGCGATGGAGGTGCGTTTTGAGTCGACTCACAAGTCGCGCGGGGCAGAGCGACAAGGGCACCGAGAGGGAGAGGTGCGTGGGGCTCACTACGACACGGCGATGGAGGTGCGTTTTGAGTCGACTCACAAGTCGCGCGGGGCAGAGCGACAAGGGCACCGAGAGGGAGAGGTGCGTGGGGCTCACTACGACACGGCGATGGAGGTGCGTTTTGAGTCGACTCACAAGTCGCGCGGGGCAGAGCGACAAGGGCACCGAGAGGGAGAGGTGCGTGGGGCTCACTACGACACGGCGATGGAGGTGCGTTTTGAGTCGACTCACAAGTCGCGCGGGGCAGAGCGACAAGGGCACCGAGAGGGAGAGGTGCGTGGGGCTCACTACGACACGGCGATGGAGGTGCGTTTTGAGTCGACTCACAAGTCGCGCGGGGCAGAGCGACAAGGGCACCGAGAGGGAGAGGTGCGTGGGGCTCACTACGACACGGCGATGGAGGTGCGTTTTGAGTCGACTCACAAGTCGCGCGGGGCAGAGCGACAAGGGCACCGAGAGGGAGAGGTGCGTGGGGCTCACTACGACACGGCGATGGAGGTGCGTTTTGAGTCGACTCACAAGTCGCGCGGGGCAGAGCGACAAGGGCACCGAGAGGGAGAGGTGCGTGGGGCTCACTACGACACGGCGATGGAGGTGCGTTTTGAGTCGACTCACAAGTCGCGCGGGGCAGAGCGACAAGGGCACCGAGAGGGAGAGGTGCGTGGGGCTCACTACGACACGGCGATGGAGGTGCGTTTTGAGTCGACTCACAAGTCGCGCGGGGCAGAGCGACAAGGGCACCGAGAGGGAGAGGTGCGTGGGGCTCACTACGACACGGCGATGGAGGTGCGTTTTGAGTCGACTCACAAGTCGCGCGGGGCAGAGCGACAAGGGCACCGAGAGGGAGAGGTGCGTGGGGCTCACTACGACACGGCGATGGAGGTGCGTTTTGAGTCGACTCACAAGTCGCGCGGGGCAGAGCGACAAGGGCACCGAGAGGGAGAGGTGCGTGGGGCTCACTACGACACGGCGATGGAGGTGCGTTTTGAGTCGACTCACAAGTCGCGCGGGGCAGAGCGACAAGGGCACCGAGAGGGAGAGGTGCGTGGGGCTCACTACGACACGGCGATGGAGGTGCGTTTTGAGTCGACTCACAAGTCGCGCGGGGCAGAGCGACAAGGGCACCGAGAGGGAGAGGTGCGTGGGGCTCACTACGACACGGCGATGGAGGTGCGTTTTGAGTCGACTCACAAGTCGCGCGGGGCAGAGCGACAAGGGCACCGAGAGGGAGAGGTGCGTGGGGCTCACTACGACACGGAGATGGAGGTGCGTTTTGAGTCGACTCACAAGTCGCGCGGGGCAGAGCGACAAGGGCACCGAGAGGGAGAGGTGCGTGGGGCTCACTACGACACGGAGATGGAGGTGCGTTTTGAGTCGACTCACAAGTCGCGCGGGGCAGAGCGACAAGGGCACCGAGAGGGAGAGGTGCGTGGGGCTCACTACGACACGGAGATGGAGGTGCGTTTTGAGTCGACTCACAAGTCGCGCGGGGCAGAGCGACAAGGGCACCGAGAGGGAGAGGTGCGTGGGGCTCACTACGACACGGAGATGGAGGTGCGTTTTGAGTCGACTCACAAGTCGCGCGGGGCAGAGCGACAAGGGCACCGAGAGGGAGAGGTGCGTGGGGCTCACTACGACACGGCGATGGAGGTGCGTTTTGAGTCGACTCACAAGTCGCGCGGGGCAGAGCGACAAGGGCACCGAGAGGGAGAGGTGCGTGGGGCTCACTACGACACGGCGATGGAGGTGCGTTTTGAGTCGACTCACAAGTCGCGCGGGGCAGAGCGACAAGGGCACCGAGAGGGAGAGGTGCGTGGGGCTCACTACGACACGGCGATGGAGGTGCGTTTTGAGTCGACTCACAAGTCGCGCGGGGCAGAGCGACAAGGGCACCGAGAGGGAGAGGTGCGTGGGGCTCACTACGACACGGCGATGGAGGTGCGTTTTGAGTCGACTCACAAGTCGCGCGGGGCAGAGCGACAAGGGCACCGAGAGGGAGAGGTGCGTGGGGCTCACTACGACACGGAGATGGAGGTGCGTTTTGAGTCGACTCACAAGTCGCGCGGGGCAGAGCGACAAGGGCACCGAGAGGGAGAGGTGCGTGGGGCTCACTACGACACGGAGATGGAGGTGCGTTTTGAGTCGACTCACAAGTCGCGCGGGGCAGAGCGACAAGGGCACCGAGAGGGAGAGGTGCGTGGGGCTCACTACGACACGGAGATGGAGGTGCGTTTTGAGTCGACTCACAAGTCGCGCGGGGCAGAGCGACAAGGGCACCGAGAGGGAGAGGTGCGTGGGGCTCACTACGACACGGAGATGGAGGTGCGTTTTGAGTCGACTCACAAGTCGCGCGGGGCAGAGCGACAAGGGCACCGAGAGGGAGAGGTGCGTGGGGCTCACTACGACACGGAGATGGAGGTGCGTTTTGAGTCGACTCACAAGTCGCGCGGGGCAGAGCGACAAGGGCACCGAGAGGGAGAGGTGCGTGGGGCTCACTACGACACGGAGATGGAGGTGCGTTTTGAGTCGACTCACAAGTCGCGCGGGGCAGAGCGACAAGGGCACCGAGAGGGAGAGGTGCGTGGGGCTCACTACGACACGGAGATGGAGGTGCGTTTTGAGTCGACTCACAAGTCGCGCGGGGCAGAGCGACAAGGGCACCGAGAGGGAGAGGTGCGTGGGGCTCACTACGACACGGAGATGGAGGTGCGTTTTGAGTCGACTCACAAGTCGCGCGGGGCAGAGCGACAAGGGCACCGAGAGGGAGAGGTGCGTGGGGCTCACTACGACACGGCGATGGAGGTGCGTTTTGAGTCGACTCACAAGTCGCGCGGGGCAGAGCGACAAGGGCACCGAGAGGGAGAGGTGCGTGGGGCTCACTACGACACGGCGATGGAGGTGCGTTTTGAGTCGACTCACAAGTCGCGCGGGGCAGAGCGACAAGGGCACCGAGAGGGAGAGGTGCGTGGGGCTCACTACGACACGGCGATGGAGGTGCGTTTTGAGTCGACTCACAAGTCGCGCGGGGCAGAGCGACAAGGGCACCGAGAGGGAGAGGTGCGTGGGGCTCACTACGACACGGCGATGGAGGTGCGTTTTGAGTCGACTCACAAGTCGCGCGGGGCAGAGCGACAAGGGCACCGAGAGGGAGAGGTGCGTGGGGCTCACTACGACACGGCGATGGAGGTGCGTTTTGAGTCGACTCACAAGTCGCGCGGGGCAGAGCGACAAGGGCACCGAGAGGGAGAGGTGCGTGGGGCTCACTACGACACGGAGATGGAGGTGCGTTTTGAGTCGACTCACAAGTCGCGCGGGGCAGAGCGACAAGGGCACCGAGAGGGAGAGGTGCGTGGGGCTCACTACGACACGGAGATGGAGGTGCGTTTTGAGTCGACTCACAAGTCGCGCGGGGCAGAGCGACAAGGGCACCGAGAGGGAGAGGTGCGTGGGGCTCACTACGACACGGAGATGGAGGTGCGTTTTGAGTCGACTCACAAGTCGCGCGGGGCAGAGCGACAAGGGCACCGAGAGGGAGAGGTGCGTGGGGCTCACTACGACACGGCGATGGAGGTGCGTTTTGAGTCGACTCACAAGTCGCGCGGGGCAGAGCGACAAGGGCACCGAGAGGGAGAGGAGCGTGGGGCTCACTACGACACGGCGATGGAGGTGCGTTTTGAGTCGACTCACAAGTCGCGCGGGGCAGAGCGACAAGGGCACCGAGAGGGAGAGGTGCGTGGGGCTCACTACGACACGGAGATGGAGGTGCGTTTTGAGTCGACTCACAAGTCGCGCGGGGCAGAGCGACAAGGGCACCGAGAGGGAGAGGTGCGTGGGGCTCACTACGACACGGAGATGGAGGTGCGTTTTGAGTCGACTCACAAGTCGCGCGGGGCAGAGCGACAAGGGCACCGAGAGGGAGAGGTGCGTGGGGCTCACTACGACACGGAGATGGAGGTGCGTTTTGAGTCGACTCACAAGTCGCGCGGGGCAGAGCGACAAGGGCACCGAGAGGGAGAGGTGCGTGGGGCTCACTACGACACGGCGATGGAGGTGCGTTTTGAGTCGACTCACAAGTCGCGCGGGGCAGAGCGACAAGGGCACCGAGAGGGAGAGGTGCGTGGGGCTCACTACGACACGGCGATGGAGGTGCGTTTTGAGTCGACTCACAAGTCGCGCGGGGCAGAGCGACAAGGGCACCGAGAGGGAGAGGTGCGTGGGGCTCACTACGACACGGCGATGGAGGTGCGTTTTGAGTCGACTCACAAGTCGCGCGGGGCAGAGCGACAAGGGCACCGAGAGGGAGAGGTGCGTGGGGCTCACTACGACACGGCGATGGAGGTGCGTTTTGAGTCGACTCACAAGTCGCGCGGGGCAGAGCGACAAGGGCACCGAGAGGGAGAGGTGCGTGGGGCTCACTACGACACGGCGATGGAGGTGCGTTTTGAGTCGACTCACAAGTCGCGCGGGGCAGAGCGACAAGGGCACCGAGAGGGAGAGGTGCGTGGGGCTCACTACGACACGGCGATGGAGGTGCGTTTTGAGTCGACTCACAAGTCGCGCGGGGCAGAGCGACAAGGGCACCGAGAGGGAGAGGTGCGTGGGGCTCACTACGACACGGAGATGGAGGTGCGTTTTGAGTCGACTCACAAGTCGCGCGGGGCAGAGCGACAAGGGCACCGAGAGGGAGAGGTGCGTGGGGCTCACTACGACACGGAGATGGAGGTGCGTTTTGAGTCGACTCACAAGTCGCGCGGGGCAGAGCGACAAGGGCACCGAGAGGGAGAGGTGCGTGGGGCTCACTACGACACGGAGATGGAGGTGCGTTTTGAGTCGACTCACAAGTCGCGCGGGGCAGAGCGACAAGGGCACCGAGAGGGAGAGGTGCGTGGGGCTCACTACGACACGGAGATGGAGGTGCGTTTTGAGTCGACTCACAAGTCGCGCGGGGCAGAGCGACAAGGGCACCGAGAGGGAGAGGTGCGTGGGGCTCACTACGACACGGAGATGGAGGTGCGTTTTGAGTCGACTCACAAGTCGCGCGGGGCAGAGCGACAAGGGCACCGAGAGGGAGAGGTGCGTGGGGCTCACTACGACACGGAGATGGAGGTGCGTTTTGAGTCGACTCACAAGTCGCGCGGGGCAGAGCGACAAGGGCACCGAGAGGGAGAGGTGCGTGGGGCTCACTACGACACGGAGATGGAGGTGCGTTTTGAGTCGACTCACAAGTCGCGCGGGGCAGAGCGACAAGGGCACCGAGAGGGAGAGGTGCGTGGGGCTCACTACGACACGGAGATGGAGGT